CTTTTGAGATGAAGGGGTCGTAGGGCCGCGCTCCCTCCACAGGCTCCAGGGGAGGGTCCTTCCTGCCTCTTCCAGCTTCTGGGGCTCCAGGCGTCCCTGGGCTGGTGGCCGCCTCCCTCCCGTCTCTGCCTCCATCTCCACGTGGCTTCTCCTCTGTGTCTGTGTCTCTCTTCTTCTGTCTCTTATAAGGACACTCGCGATTGGATTTAGGGCCACCCTCATCCAGGATGAGCTCCTCTCCATCCTTTCCTTAACTTCCTCTGCAAAGACCCCATTTCCAAATAAGGTCCCATTTACAGGCCCCAGGGCTTAGGAATTAAACATATCTTTTTGGGGGAACACAATTCAACCCAGAAAAATTGGGAGGAGAGTTAGAATGACTGCATTTAGGTGACTCAAAGAGAGCCAGGCCAGCTGTGAGATGTCCCCCTTACAGCGGAGAGGTTGAGCGGGGCACAGATGGATGGTGTCGGCTTTCTGGCATTTTGGACCATTAGTGCATCTTCTCTTTAGAACGTGCTGAGGTGAGAAGGGAGGAGACCAGAGCAGGAGGCAGAGCTAAGGATGTGGCCTCCCTGTCACTTCTGTCATTGCTCCCTGTGGTCCAGGGACCCCAGAATAAAATCCAGAGTTGTCTGTTTTTTCTTTTTGCAACCACTTGGCATTCCACACTATTCTCATTGTTTCTCTTCAATATAGACTTTTCCAAACTGTTTTAAGTTCCAGCAAACTTAAAAAAAACATAACCCCTGCAAACTTAAATCCGAGTTTCTCCCCTTTACATGGGCTTCTTTTGCGTTATGGGCTTTCCAAGACAAAATAAGGAGGGGTGCTCCTTTACCTGCGAGTCTGAAGCAAAAGCACTTTCTCCTCCATCCCCTGTGACCTCTGTCTCTCAGGTCAGGTTGCAGGGTTTTCGGGGTGAGAAAGAGGGGAAGCCAGTCTGTTATGACCATGAGAACTGCATTTTCTGCACTTTCTCACACCTCCCTCTGTGGATGGTTTTTTTCCCCAGCTGTGACTTCTGAGAAAAGAGGGAGCCTTTTAGGGGATTCCATGTTGTGGTCACGGCGATCCCGTTAATATGCTAGTTCTGCAGGGTTGTCTGAACAATCAGGATGAAGGCAGTCAGTTTTCGCTGACTGTGATGTATGTGTGTGTGTGCATAGTTTTGCGTGTCTGTATTTAGAAGTACCTCAGAACACACTATGGCTTTTTTCTGGGTGGGCTGGAATTTTACCATGTCTGCAAGCTATTTGGAGTGAGGAGGTCTTACCTCTCCTCCCCAGCCCCCAGACGGAAAGCTACCTGAGTTTGTATGTGAATCTGACATGAGGGTTTTGGAGGATGGATGGAGGTGGAGGAGGAGGGAGAGAGAGATGGTGGAGCGTGCAGACAGAATGGAGAGAATGGCAAAGGCTTTGAAAAGATGAAGAATTGCCTCCCAGGGAGAGGGGAGACCTGAGATTTTCCCACCCCAGCAGTTAAAGACCAGAATCACAGACACAGAATGCTCCATACATTGGAACCACCTTCCTCACCTGGAAACTCAGCTGGAGAAGCAAAGACCTCTTGTCATGTTGGAGGATAAACCACAGTGGAAAGGATGTGCCCGCCTTACAAGTGGCCATGCCTTCTGACGAGATTGCTATGGGTGATTCTGACTGTCTGAAACCCACAGGCCAGCTGAGCTTTGGAATTTGGAAATTTGCAGAATTGGGGACAATAATCAGATGTGGGTGCCGGTTATCACAGGACAGCCTCAATAGAGACTGGGCAACGCTTTTGTGTTAACATGTGACTTTCTGTAGTGCAATGAATGGATATTCACCCAAGGAGGGGGAAGTCAAGCCTGAATAGTTTCTTATTAAGTCAGGTCCAGTTTTGTGGCTGGATCAGTTTATGAAGGCACTTGGGGTTTCAGAACCTTTTAGACTTAGGAATTGTAGGGAAAGGAGTGAAGAACCCATACTTGATTTTCACCTTAGAGTTTTAACTGTGGAAATAACCTCCAGGTAAGATTTGAATCCTGAATAAATTCCCTTTCTCTGCCTCACACGACTACTCAGCCTAGGGTGGGAAAGAGGGGGTCACCCGGGTGGGGAGAGGGAGGGTTTCTCTTGAGGGTCTCTCTTATCAGGGAGGAAAAATCTGGCCTAGAAACACTTGACCGCTTTTTAAAAAATTTTTTTTTCCAGTTTTATTGAGATATAATTGACATATAGAATTGTATTAGTTTTCAGGTGTACAACATAGTCATTCGATATATGTATATATTGCAAAATGATCACCACAATAACTCTAGTTAACATCCATCACCATACATAGTTACAAATTTTTTTTCTTGTGGTGAGAACATTTAAGATCTACTGTCTTAGCAACTTTCAACTATGCAATACAGTATTATTAACTATAGTCGCCATGGTGTCCATTACATCCCCAGGACTTATTTATCTTATAACTGGAAGTTTGTATCTTTTGACCCCCTTCGCCCATTTCACTCACCTACCACCCCCACCTCCGGTAACCACCAGTTTGTTTTCTATATCTATGAGTTTGGTCATTTTAGATTCCACGTATAAGTGAGACCATTCAGTATTTGTCTGATTTTACTTAGCGTAATGCCTTCAAAGTCCATCCATGTTGTCGCAAATGAAAACAACTCTTCTTTATGTCATATTGGGCAGAGGTGAGTCATGCGGCTGTCCATAACCTGCAGCAAAGCTAAAAAAAAAAAAAGGCTTTTCTACATTCTAAAGGGAGATATTGAGAGCTGGGGATGTAGGTTGAAGAGCCTGCCAACACCAAGCAGGAAAAAGCTCAATTTGCCTTTTTCTTTCCACTGCAATAATGACTCACTTCCAACACCATTAATGTTGTCTTTGGCACATTTAAGGTGATCAACTTAAAAATTACAGCATCGGTTTTGTCTGCCTTGAACAAGGCTGTTGACCTACGTAGTCCTGTGATCTGGTTGTGGAGTTGAGGGACTTCCCTCATCTCCCAGGGTAACACAGGCATCCCCTGCAGTGCACAGGTCACCTGTCTTGAGTTCTGTGTGTTTACACCTCACACAGCTCAGAGAATGCTTGAAAGACATTGCAGACAGAAATGTAAAAAAAATCTGTTGACTCATAGCTCTGTTATCTTTCATGTAGGCATAGAGAACTCTCAGCTGAGGGTCAAATGCAGGTGCTGAAAAGACAAAGTATTATCTAGTAAATACGATCCAGTAATGAATGGGCTCCTCATTATGGGCAGTAGAGAGAGATGATTAAGAAGAATGGGACCGGAGAGGCAGAAAGATCAAGGAACATAGCCTTCTTTTCATTATTAGAATCTCAGAGTGTGGCAAGACTTTTATATGTTTCGTTTCTACCTGTCCTATCAGAGAGATGAACAATATGAGGCCAAAAAGGGTTACTTTGTTTGTCTGAGTTCATAGATCAAATCAAAAGCAAATTGTAGACTAGATGCCACTGTTCCTAATTACCACGTGTGTGCACTTTACCCAGTGGAAACATCAGTGTCCACATAAAAACACCTCAACTGTATCCATTCACTTTCCTCAAAGCCCTTTCCCTACATGCCTCTCTATTTTGACCTGATTCCACATAATTTTATCAACATGATACTGCCTTCCACTAATAAAATTCTATTTTTACTTTAAATTATCTTTTGATGAGAATATTGTTTAAAAACATCTTATCGCTCTTCATTTGCTTCTTACACAACAATTTCTTGTCTTTGTTTCTGTAGATCCCTTTCTGCTTCTGCTATAATAAAATATTCATTGTCAGAAACTTCATTTAAAAACCAAAGTTACTTATCATGCCCTGCCCTAGTCCATTAGCAATAGATTTATTTTATAGCTTGGGAATTTTAATTGACAGACAGTGCTAAAAAAATTGCATTGCTTAAGTATAACTTTCCTCTTTTCATGCTGCCATATGCAATACATGGCTTTCCAAACTCTATGCAAGAAAAACAGGAAATCTGTGGTTGTGTGGTTGCATTGGAGGTCTTTCTCCTTCTCAAGCCATCCTTGAATTCCTTCTCCTTTCTCATCAGGTTGATCGCCATTTTTCCAACCAGAGAGCCCTGTTAGTTGACCATTTTCTACATCCTCATGCTCGCAAAGAAGACCCCTTCCTCTGCATTATTTTCTAGACAGTCAGTGACAAAAAAGACAGCGACCATTGATAAGCTTCCTGAGTGCCAGGCACCCAGGGCCTCACACGTACAGATTTCCATGTTTCTGCCGCCAACTTGACCTCTCCCCTGGCCATCGATAAATAAAATTCTTTTGGCTCTTTGATCTCATAGTTGCATCAGGTGATCACCAGCTTGTGTGAGGGGTAGAAGGTGTGCACCATGCCCCACGGTGAGGCTCAGAGGACCAAGAGGGGCTGGAAGGAGATGGAAGGGGAGGAAGAGGAAGCATTTGGGTTGAAAATGTCCCTGCAGGGTACAAAAGAGGGTTTGATTTCCTTTCATATTTGTAGTGGCTGCAGTGTTTTTAATTTCCCCCTCTTTCTATTCACATCTCTATCAGTTTATTCCAATCTGTGCAGATCTTAAAATAAAGACTAAGTGCATTTAGCGGGCATGAGTCTGTTAAAGAGGCTTCGTGAGGAGGGTCGTGTGCCTCATACTCCCGTCTTGATCTAGAAAACCTGAAGAGAAGAAGACCTGTGGAAGGAATGCATTTACCGTACTTTCCCATTCTGCCTCTCCTTGTGTGTGTGCATGCGTGTGTTCTCCAGGATGACTCATTTGCGGAAACAATGGGCAGCTTTCTCCCCCAATTGAAGAACATTTGATCATTTGACAGATGATCCTCTCTGTCTACGTGTGTGTGTAACACTTACATTCAATTGAGCATTCCAGACTGGAGCTCCTCAGCAAACACTCACCAGACGTGTCCTAGGGTGTTCAGTTGCTAAAGCCCACGATTCTCTTCCGGTCCCCATACAGCCTCGTTTGCTCTCCCCTTCTAGGCACGGGGACGTTCGGCCGTGTGCAGCTGGTCAAGGAGAAGACGGCCAAGCATTTCTTCGCCCTGAAGGTGATGAGCATCCCGGACGTGATCCGCTTGAAGCAGGAGCAGCACGTGCACAACGAGAAGTCGGTGCTGAAGGAAGTCAGCCACCCGTTCCTGGTCAAGCTGTGAGTGCCCCCCACTCCCGGGTCTCTCCCGCCTCCTTCTCTTGGACCTCGCCCTCCTCCCTGGGACCCCGGTGGGGTGGAATGAGGACATGGGGTTTATGCAAAGCCTCAGACCAGGGTGAGAACCTTCTGAGATGTCTCAGCTTCTGATCTTGCAGATGGGATTCTGCAAGGGCTGCTGAATGTCATCCCGGTCATGTCCGCCGAGAAAGGCTCTGTTTCTACAACTGCCTGCCCCAGGGCCTTGCTCGCCCGCCTAATATCTGCAGGGGTGTGGATGTCCCCGCTCGAGCCTCTGTTCCCCTCCTCCCATCAGGGTCAGCCTCATCAGCTGCCTGGAGAGCCTGTTCAGTCATCTGTCACCTGCTCAGCTACATCCCCTCAGGTGTTTCCATGGGTTTCCAGATGACTAGTAGAGATCTCCATCCAAATGCTCCACAGACCCCTCCAGTTGAAGATGCTCAACATTGCACCAATAAATGCCTCTTCCCCCATGCCATTTGCTAGAGTAGGGGAAGACCATTTCCCACTCCATGCTAGAGATGCACATGTCCAGTGATGGCTCTCTCTCCCCATCCATGGGTGCCTTCCACCCAGTTCCATGCACCGTCCTTCTCAGTCCCTCCTGCACAGCCCTTGCCTGTTCGGGGGCCTCTCTCTCTGCCCTGCCTTTCTGCACTGGCCTCCCGACAGTTCTTGCCCTCCTAGCCTTGCTTCCCTTCAAGGCATCCCTTCTCCACTTTACAGCCATGCTGGTCCTCCCCACAAACCTCTCCAGTGATCTGTGTCTCTTATTACAAATGCACAGGGGATTCCCAAGGTGCCCAGAGTAAAGCCTCAGCGACTTAGATCCTAGAAAAGGCTCATCGTGGGCTCTGGCTTTCCCTCCGGCTCTGTCTCTTTCCCTCCATTGTCCAATCATGGAAAGCCACCGCAGTAGAAGGTAGGAGGTGCCGTCCACGTTGTCACTCTGGGGCCACCTGTCCCATGCAGTGCCTCCTTCCTCTGAGTCTCCTCATCCAGCACCCCTCCCACCTGAAGGATACCTGCCTTTCTTCTCCCACACCCCTGCCTGCACACGGAGACAGGTGCCCTCGCCATGGTCTCGAAGCATCTGGCGTGTACCCCACTGCAGGGAAGTTCATCTCTAAACTAAAAGCTGCCGGAGCAATATCCTCCAGCCCAAAACGGCGTCTTACCGAGAATAGCGACAGGTTGCCCGTTTCATGACGGGGAGAAAGGAAGCGGTTGACTTTCTGTGTTACTTTCTTTTTATGGAGCTAAAAGGATCTTGTGCCGATGTGGAGGGGTCGATAGAGTCTCATGCTTTTAAGTCGTGGAAACAAAAGTAGCCGGCACATTGCGGCGTCACCACCCCTCACTCATCAGGTCTGAGTCTCCACTTGGCCAGTGGTAGAATGATGGTTACAAAACTAATGGGTATAGATCTTCTTCTGGAATGAAGAGAAGCTTCTGGTTATTTCTCTTCTATGACCTAAAATCGTGATTCTGGGAAGGGAGTTTAGCTTGTGAGGGTTTTAAATAAATATTTTCCAAAGGAGACATGGACTCCTTTATAATATTGCCAAATTGTTCTCATGTGATTTAGGTGAATGGTCTTGGGCTTTTACCAAATACAGGAAGTCTCAAAGCCAAAACACAGAGTGTGTCCCAGAGGGTGCTTTGTAGCTGAATTTTCCAAGGAAGACAATGCACCAGGCAGCTGGATTCTGGTTTGCCTCTGAAAACCAAGTGGCATGATCCGTTACGTGTTTGCAGTGAAATTAGGAGAACATAAAAGAGAAGCAAATGGAATTAATGGTGAAAACAAAAAGTCTTAGACATTGTTGTTGAGAAGACACAGTTTCGAGAACAGTGAAGAAACCACTGGGGAGGAGGTCTCTCCAGGACTGGGAGGGGAAAGTGGGGACACTACCCTGTCTACTTCACCTCATTGCATCTTTTCTGGGGTGCAGGCACATCCCTCAGGCATCCTTAGGGTGATGTAGGGTGTGCATGGAATCTTGGGTGAGGGCTTCCAATTCTGGGAATTCCACCTTGTTGTGGGGTGAATTGTGTCCCCTCCAAAAAGATATGTTGAAGTTCTCACCCCCAGTACCTGTGAATGTGACCTTATTGGAAATTGGGTCCTTGCAGATGTAATTCAGATGTAAGTTCAGGTGCTAGAGGAGTCAGGTGAGTTCTTCGTCCGTTATGATAGATGTCCCTATAAGAAGAGAAGAAGAGACATGAAGACAGACACACACAGAGAAGGGAACGCCTTGTGAAGGTACAGAGGCACAGAGGAGAAGCCATGTGAAGATGGAGGCAGAGATGGAAGGGATGTGGCCACAAGCCAGGAGATGCCTGGAGCTCCCAGAAGCTGGAAGAGGCAGGAAGGACCCTCCCCTGGAGCCTCTGTGGGGAGTATGGCCCTGCTTACACCTTGATCTCAGACTTCTGGACTCCAGGACTGAGAGAAAATGATTTTATGTTGTCTTAAGCCACCTAGTTTATTGTACTTTGTTTTGGCAGCCCCAGGAGACTCATACATACCTCTCAACTCCTAGAGTGGGGAACCAGCCTACGTGATAGGCTTTGGAGATGCTTTACAATTCAAAAATCTCAACTCCCAAGAAAGAGCCCCATGGATGTGGGGGTGGGTGGAGTATATAAGTCAGAGTTTCTGGGATAGAATCCTTGAGGTTTTAGAAGTTAAAAATGGACAGGGAAAGGGAGACATTGCAAAACAGAGCTTCAGTCAGATGAGTCTGCTTTTTTCTTTCCGGGACACTAAGCAGCAGTTTTTGTTATCATGTGTGGTAGATTCCTGAGTCCCAAAGGGACACGGATTCTGTATTTTGCTGTTCCTTGTCTTCAGTTAATATCTAAGTTGCTTATATCACACAGTCTGTACGTTCTAATTTTGATGGAATAGAATTGGACCCAGGTTATCCAAATTGGTTCATTTTTCTCTTTTAAAAAGCAGTGCGATTTCTCTGCACCCTGGTAGCTGGATGCTATGTTGATTTTCCTGTTGCCTGTGCAGCTCACGGGGTACAGATCACAATCTAATGTAGTCTTTTTGTATGTTATGTTCAACTGGGGGTGTGGCTGGGGGGGGCAGGAATTTTTCCTGGTCATTTGGTCTATGTGGAATTGAAGGAACATTCAGATAGTCTTCTCAGGGAGAGTATACTCACAAGTTTTGGGAAAATGTGGCAGGAGCTCATTTAAAATCTCTCCATGGGGGGCCGCCCCGTGGCTTAGCGGTTAAGTGCGCGCGCTCCGCTGCTGGTGGCCCGGGTTTGGATCCCGGGCGCGCACCGACGCACCGCTCCTCCGGCCATGCTGAGGCCGCGTCCCACATACGGCAACTGGAAGGATGTGCAGCTATGACAGACAACTATCTACTGGGGCTTTGGGGGAAAAATAAATAAATAAAATTTAAAAAATAAAAAAATAAATAAAATCTCTCCATGGATTTTGATCAATATTTGTTTCCCCACAGCACTGAGATAGCACATCAGACAAGATGCTCTCTGGTGTCCATGGCTCTCAGGAAAGGCTTAGGATCTAGGGAAATTATCATCAACAGTGGATCCTTGAAAGAATTAATAGGGTAGGGATATAAATTTCCAGGTGACCTTTATCCAAAAATTATGAAAATTAGTTTGCCCTCTCTATTAGTGTTCTCGGGCTGCCATAACAAAGGACCACAGACTGGGGGCTTAAACAGCAGACATTTATTTATCACAGTCCTGGAGGATGGAAGTCTGAGATCCAGATGTGGGCAGGGCTGGTTCTTCCTGAGGCCTCTCTCCTTGGCATGTAGATGCAGTCTTCTCCCCGTGGTCGTCCCTCTGTGCATGTCTGTGTCCTCATCTCCTCTTCTTGTAAGGACACCAGTCCTATTGGATCAGGACCCACCCTAATGACCTCATTTTACCTTCGTCACCTCTTTAAAGACCCATCTCCAAATACAGTCACATTCTGAGGTCCCAGTGGTTAGGACTTCAACATGTGAATTTTATGGGGACACACTTTAGCCTGTAACACCTACTTAGTGACTTGCTGAGAAGAGTGGATGTCTCAGTGCATGGGGGGCTTGTTATAATGTACTTATAGCATTTGTTTTTTTCTGTGCATTGTCACTTGAGGGACCTGGTGTGCTTAAAAACTGTGTTTAAAGTTGCCCTAGTTTGATCAGGCTCTCAAAGTTCCCTGTACATGGCATGGGCGAGCACACTGTATCCAGCCAGACCCGTGGATGGGAGCCAGAAGGTGTCTAGGACCACATGATGAGGAATGCGTTTTCGTTGGAAAAGACCATTAGTGAAGAATGTATTTAATCCCCCCAGCTGTACAGTTTGTCTTGTGAATGAGAGTCACCTCATCTAACATCTGCTTTCCATACTATCCAGAAACATCGAGCTCATCGTGCTTGCGTTTCTTGAAACCACGTGGAATGCTGAAGTTGCCAGGTGTCAAGCTGAACCAAGAGTGGAGTTTGGAGTTCCACTCAAATGATTTGGCAAGTTCCCCGGTGGCATTATCAGAGTTCAGTCTTTGAACTGCTGCTGGTTGTATTTTTGACACTACGCCAGGTCGTTCATTAAATGCACATTAGGGAACACATTCTGTTCAGTGATGGTGTTGTTTCCAAAGCCCAGCTCAGCCAACGGAGAGAGAATTTTAGAAGAACTGAGTAACTCACTGGCCAGGGTGGAGAAGAGAGAAAGGGAGAAAGGCTTGCAGTCTGCCCAAAGATCATCATCTCATGTCTACTCCTCACCCTTTATCCAGATGGAAATTGGTGGCATCATAGGGTTGTTTGGATCCAGAGCAGGGTTTCTCAGCCTCAGCACTATTGACATCTGGGGCAGGTAATTCTTTGTGGTGGGGGCTGTTCTACGTAGTGTAGGACGTTTAGCAGCATCCATGGTCTCTACGCATTCAATGCCAGTTGCACACCTCACCCCCCTCAGTGGCGACAGCCA